TTTGTCTGAAGCTTTTAAATTTTATGGTTCAAATATTCAATATTATAATTATTTGAGTTTTATATATAATTTCATTTCTATAATTAACGATTAATCATTCTTTTTGAAATCATCTATGCTTAATATTTACGATTGTTTTGTTTTTTTGTTTTTTTTCTTTTTTTTTCTTTTGAAATTCTTTTTCAATTTCGTGGGTTGGTTGGTTTTTATTTGATTTTTTTATTATTATTACTTTTTTTGCCTTTTAAAATTCTATTTCAGTTCCACTCAATTTTGCATAAATGTTAATGTAAAAAGTTTTTTCCATAGTCATTTAATAGTGTTTAATTAGGTTAAAAGGCAGTAGAATTTTAAAAGTTTTGCAACATCTTTATCATTCTATATAAAAAGACTTTCTTCACTCATTTTCAACAATATTGTGAGCTTTATTTTTCTTCTTCTTATTCTTATTCTTCGAGGATGAGTCGGGGCCTAAGATCATGTCGAGGCGTAGTTGATGGACAACCTGTATTATTTTTTCCCCATTTTTTTATCTCTCACAATATTTTGATTTCTTTTTATTTTTTACAATATTACCCTTCATTTTTAAGTAATACTAAACATGTCTATACCTTATCCGAAGGTTTTGTTTNTTCGTAGGTGGATTATGAGTCGGTTTTGATTTGATTTTTTTTAATTATTTTTTGTTTTCTTTTATTTTTGCCTTTTGAAATCCTGTTTTAATTTTGTAGGTTTTGTTTTGATTTTCTTTTCTTACCTTTTAAAATTCTATTTCAATTCTACTTAATTTTACATAAGTGTTAAGAATGTAAAGAGTTTTTCTCATCGTCATTTAATAGTGTTTGATTATATAATATTAAAAGGTGGTAGAATTTTAATAGTTTTGCAACATCTTTCTTTTATCATTATATAAAAAGACTTTCTTCACTTATTTTCAACAATATTGTGAGGTTTTTCTTAGTCTTCTTCTTATTCTTCTTCTTTTTCCCACATTTTTTCTCTCTAACAATATTTTGATTTTTAAGGTTCAGTGTATAAGATCGCGATCCAATTTTTCAAAGCATTATTGTTCATGTTTATCATCCTTGAATATTGGTGAGAGGTAAATATATATATATATATATATATATATATATATATATATATATAATTCAATATTTCTTCTTGTTTCTTAATTTTTGTATTTTTAAGTTTTGTTAATCATTATATCTATATCTATAATATGTTTATATTAGTACGGATGTAGAATAATTTTTTTTAGCAATATTACCCTTCAATTTTTATTCAATACCATATATGCCATTAATTTATTAGTAGGTTTTGTTTTGATTATTTTTATTATATTTTTTCTTTTGCCGTTTGAAATTCTATTTCAATTTTGTGGGTTTGTTTTGATTTTCTGATTTTTTTAATTCATTTAAAAAAATTAATAATAAAATTTCAAAATTTTGATAGTCTTATAGTTTTACAACATTGATTCAATTCTACAACTATACAAAAATTCTCTCTCTTTTTATTTATTTATTTTTTAAAAAATTTGTTCATTCTCTATTTAGTGTTATTTCTTTATTGATTAGTAATAATAATGTTTCTTCTTCTAACTTGATATACACAATCATCTTAATTGCATAACGAATTTATGTATATTTCTTTAATAAAATTTATCGTAAATATCAAGTCAACTTCACACCTCTACCTAAACAATATTAAATATCTCAATTGAAAAATAAAATAAATATAAAAACTTATGGATTAACTTCTCTTCACATTCTTACCTCCAAAAGTTTTAATTCTAATCTTTTATATATATAATATTTTAATTATAAGAATTCAAGAACTTTTTTTTTATTAAAACTACAAAAGATTATGTAATATATATAGATATATTTTCAATAACGACAACATATTAAAAAGTACAATCCAAATTTTGTCATCTTCCTTCCATATAACTTATTTATTTTTTATTGTTTTTATATATAATTTTTATTTGAATTTTGCAAAGTCTAAAGAAGTCGACAATTTGAAAATTGATTGTCTAGTTTATATTTTTTCTTTAACTTTACTTCGTATGTATTATGAATTTCAAGTTATTTTGAATATAATAGTGTGTGTATATATATATAAAATAACTTAAGATATAACGTGGGAAGCACGTACTAAAATACTAGTTAAAGAAAAAGTAATAAATTTTAGAGGTATAATTAATAAAATATAGGAAAATGTAAAAGATAATTTATTTTTAGAAAGTAGGAAAGTGTGATAATTTATTTATAAGGATCCTATTTATAGTATTTATGTGAGAATGTGAAAGGGTATAATTTGAGAGGTAAAACAATAAGTGAGATGATATTTGAATTATTTATATGAGTGAACGTGGTACAGACGTGTGGATTATCACCACAAATACCTATCCATATTTTAGCATAAGAAGCAATTGTGAAAAGAAAAAAAAACAACGGGAATATGTGAGATATAATAGCTAAACACAAAACAAAGTATAAAAATAAAACTTTTCTTTGTATTCCACCTTGAAGAAACTTAAAACTAATTAGAGAAAGAGTAAGAATAGAATACGGTAACAACAACAATTTATTTGAAAGGAAAGATGAGCAAAATAATCACTAAATTGGGTGGAGCAAAAGGAGAGATGAATCACAACCACTCTCCGTGAATTAAGGAGATTGGCAAAATCTAGTGATTGTATATAATTTTTTAAACATAACTATAGATTTGATTTAGGCTCAACATGGTACTACCTTATAATTGGAGGAGCCATTAAAAAAATGTATTTTTCTGTCGTGATGATAATGGATACCATGGTAGATGAAGGTGAAGCATTGAAAGCTCTTTATCGAGTCAATCTAATGCCTAGCAAAAATTTCRTACGACCAATTTCTCAATTAACTCTCTCTTGAATAATGAAGTTTTTCCCTTCACTTGACACTGTAAAATTGAACAAATTATCGAAAAAAGAAGATAAAAGTTATGTTGTGTATAAAATGGATGGAAAATGAATACTTTTTATAGTTGTATGTTGGAGGAGTTATAAAAACTTTTGGTATTCATGATTCTTTTTAAATTCCACATATAAATGAAAATTTATTTGAATGAAGGTAAAAGCAAACCTAGATACAAAGCTAGGTTAGTTGCAAGAGGTTTTACTCAAGAATATCGAATTGACTATAATGAGGTTTATTCTCCTGTTGAGCAACATTCCTCAATTCGTATTTTGTTGTCTTTAGTTGCTCATTTTAATCTTAAATTGGAACAAATGGATGTGACAACGACCTTTTTGCATGGAGAGTTAGAGGAAGAAATTTATGTCTCAACTCCCAGGTTTCATTTGAAAGGGAAAAGAGCATTTGGTTTTTAGATTGAAAAAGTCTCTTCATGGGCTTACACTACTAGAATTTGGGGTTTTTGTGACGGCGGTGAACAGTAAAAAACTGTTGAAATTTCCATAAAAATGTCACAAAAGTTAAAAATGCGTTTTTGGAGGGAGAAAACAGAGATTCTCGAATTTTTGTCCTTTTGTGACGTTTTTTAAATGTCACAAAAAGTTTGACAAAAGATTAGTTTTTTGTGACATTTAGGGTGAGGAGCATTTTTGCGGGAAAAGAYGGAGTTTTCCGAATTCTTTTAACTTTTCATGACGTTTCTAACCGTCACAAAAAGTTGAAAGAAAACACGTTTCCGGTGAAGTTTATTAAACATCACTAAATAGTGAGGCGCGTTTTTGGCGGGAAAAGACGGAGTTCTTCATATTTCTTGCTTTTCACGACGTTTAAAAAACGTCACGAAAAGTTATTTTTGGTGATGTTTAAGAATCGTCATGAAAAGATGAGGCTCATTTTTTGCAGGAAATCGGATTTCTTCTAACTTTTTGTGACGTTTAAAAAAAAGTCACGAAAGTTGGAAATCTAAATTATTTGTCATAAGAAATGTCATGAAAATGTGAGGTTCGTTTTTTTCTAGAAAACTGGATGTTTTTGCTTTTCGTGACGTTTTCTAAACATCACGATAAGTTGCTTTTCCTTTTAGTGATGTTTAAAAAACGTCATGAAATGGTGAACCGATATTTTTGGCGGGAAGCATGAATACTAACGTATATTTTCTGTCATTTGTGAGGGTTTTGAAACGTTATAAAACGTCGAACCGTGTTTTTTAGCCAAAAAATCTTTCTCTATTTGTGCTCACAAATTTTTTTTATAAATTTATGACATTTTATACCACGAACAGTGAATATGTAATTTACAATTTTTATTCTATTTAAAAAATGTTGTAAAATATTGAACTAGAGTAAACAACAAATATTAATAAATGCAGAATTTTTGATAGTTTGTAACGATTTTTTAACATCATGAAAGATTATAACATTTCGAGATTTCATGAAACTTAAAAACATCATGAAATGGTATGTTTTCTATTTCGATTTTTCTGTTCGTGGATGAAGTGAGCTTTTCTTATGTTCTATGGTTATTATAATTTTTTTTTTATTTTTTTGGTTTGTTTAGCTTTAAATGAGTCTCATATGTCTGCCCCACCTTTAATGTCATATAATTTCAAGGTAATCTAGTGTTTCATGAATAATTTGACCAAGTTTGTGAAGGTCAGCAAGTATGAATTGACTTGGACCAGCTGAAATCTTTATTTAGTTAAAATTTCTAATCTTTATTTAGTTTATGCTCTTTTATGTAAATTAAATTAATGTATTTTGAACCTCCAAAATTTTAAAATTTTATTGTTTTGTTTCATTCTATTTATAAATTTCAAAATCAAAATCCGTTCTTAAAAATTAGAAAGTAATTAAAATTGGGTTTATAAAATAGTAAAAAGAGAAGATAAGATAAAAAAAAAGAATAAAAAGTTCTATTAATATTTCTATCTTTTTTTATATATATAAAGTTAATATTTCTATCTAAAATAATCCAAAAAATAAAAAATAAAAAAATTACTAAGTTCAAGATATTTCCTTCGCTCCCAAAACTTCCCAAAATCAATTTCCCTCCCACCCCAAACAATCAAACCATTGTCTTCTCTCTCTCTTTTGGTTCGTAGTTTCTCTTCTCATCTACAACGTATCTCCTCTCTCTTGGTAGCGTACGACAAAGACTGACAACGAACGATGACGAACCCAAGAGCATTCCTTTGAGCCGCGAACTTTGGCAGCCGCTTCACTGAGCAATTGTTTGAGTGGCGATTCTTCAAGGTGAGTCTTGAGCGGCTATTTCTCGACCTCCACAACGATTCTCCAAGGTGAGACGCCACCTATCTCAAGTCATTTCATCACTATGTTCTGGTTGTTTCAGATTTGTCACAAGAAAATGTGTGTGTTTATTGATATTGAGAAACTTCACCATAAACCCATAGAGATTCTCACCGACAAGGCCGACATTGTCGTCCTCCAAAAGGTTAAAGATAATTAATGATGACGGCACAAGTGGGTCTCAGTTACTTTTCCTCCTCTTCCCATTCTTCTTTGCTTCGTCCTTCACATTTTTCCTTTGGCAAATGCTGATCATTTGCTGGTGAGTTCGATTAGGTGCATAACACAATTCTTTCTTTTTCTCGAATTTATAGCTTTCTTTCAATTTCGGGTTCAATTGGCCTGGCCCTCTCTGTTATCTTGTGTTCTTTCGTTCTAAATTCAAGTTTGAGGGTTTGTTATGTGAGGTATTTGGGGGCTTCTAGCCTTGTACATTGTCCTATAAATGCCCTAATTTAGAGCGCTGTTAGCGAATTTTTTCTTGTTTTGTTTGAGATTTTTTTTTTTTTTTTTGATTTGGGTATGTCAGGATACCATAGATTCCTAGTTTATCTCTCCAAGTTTTAGTTGCTAATACTTTATTTATACATCGTTACTGCTATTAATTGCATTTTTGTTCTATCTAAGGAAGTTGATTGCCAGATTGTTGTTCATTTCAAGTATTCAATTGCTGATATTCTTAGTGTCAATGGAGTATTTCTAGGTTAGTTTGATAGTGATGAACTTTCTAATCAATCAAAAGTCTTTACGTATTTTATGAGTTTAAAGGATGTTTTTGACCATTGAAGTGGAAGGGTAGGACTTAGGAGATAGTTTAAAGTTCGCAACTTACAATTTGTATTTGAAATATATGTAGTGTCTTTGATGCCGGATGCTATGGAAATTATATTCCAAAAGGCACTTGATCTTGGGAGAAGTGGTGCTGTAAGCAAACTTCACTATCACTATTATTATTAGTAGTAGTAGTATTGGTTGAATTATAAATTTAGTCTTCAATTGTACTAATTTAGATCTTGAGCTTAAAAAAATTTAAGTATATTATTAAACTTTATATGATGATTATATGAAGTCCTTGCTGTTAACATTGCCCTAATTTAGCCATTACAAAAGCTATTAGAAGGCAGTCCCTCAATGAGTAATTAAAAGGGAAAAGGCCTTAAATGGGCAAATTGTACAGCTCTACGTATTTACCTCTCTAACTCCACCTCCTTGAATAATACTAATGCTGATCCCAAGTCATTTCTTCCAAGATATTTGGAATGATTCAAATGGTAATTGCATATCATGAAATGTGCATCATCCATTGTCATCTCAAGAACAAACCTTCCTTTTTATTTTTCATTTGACTGTGCAAGATAATTTCTAAGGTGTGTTTGGTCTCCTTTCTAGATGATTTTTGTTTCTCAAATAGACTTCTATTAACTTTTTGTTTACTCCTCTATTTTCTGTCATCTTTCAATTATCACATTTACTTTATGTCCTGTTTATTTTCCTTTTGTTTCTTTTTTTTTTTGGAGTATTTTTTTATACATGACTTCTTATTGAGATTATTGAGATTGACATTTACTCTATTTTATGAATGACATGTTTTAATCTATGTGTTTTATCTCTTAATGCTCGTTGGATATTGTTGCTAGATGTTTCTCTATGAATGTTGGATGTTCTGGATGACTATGATTGATTCTAGTTGTTTATAATTGTTTGACTATGCTCTGTTATGACTACAATCACTGTAAAGCATTACATTTTGAATGGAAATAAATAGTTATTGTTTTGTCTAAATTTTTTCTTTTTGGCAAGACAAATTAGCAAAATGATGATATTTAGGTGATTCAATCAAAGATGATCAATGAAGCACAATGGCAATGGATAAACAAATTGCTACTTATAACTAACTTCTTTAATGGTAAGGACTTTTCTGTTATGCTTGCTAATTGTTGGAACTATTTGATTGTTTATGATTGTGATATTTGATTATTTGATCTCCAAATAGCTAACAATTTGAATTATTTTTCTTGTGTATAAGTGTAAAATGTTGGGCTTTAGCTAGATTTTTCTCGAGACCTTGTTTGTTAAAAATCTGGAATCAAAACTTATATTTATGTATAATATTTTTCATTAAACTTAATTATAATTGAGTTTTCGTAGTTGTGGAGTATGCATTATTATTGAGTTTCAGTTCTTCCATCTTGGAGTCTTTTCCTTTAACCTTGGTTCTTCATATTTGGTATAATGCTCACCACTGGAAAGTCATAAGTTCCAAAGAAGGTTAAGTGACCAAGTCTTTTCTTGTTGTTATTTTTGTTTTCTTGACTTCAGCAATTTTGTCTTTTGCTTATGTAGAAATTGGTATCATTACAAAATAAGAACTTCTTATTAATTAGTATGACCAAAGTTCATTAATCTATATATTTTTTCATGCTTATATTTGACTGTACTTGATCTCATATTGGAGGTAAAAGATGCAATCAGGATTTTGGTTAGTGCAGAATTTTCAATTATGAAGTTCTATTTGTGGAAAAGTTGGTAACTTTGTTTTTCTGTTTGGTTGTAGATGACTAGAAATAACAGTGGAGTTGTACACTCATCATATGTATGAAGTTTGTTTTTATATCACTCATCACATGTTTGAAGTTGTATACATTTATGTTGGGATGAATAAAAAAGCTTTACGAAGTTATTCGTTTACTAATTTTCAACTAAGTTCAATATATTAAGAACATGGCTCTTTGTAACTTTTCTATCATTGCATTATATGACAGGGACCAAATTTCAAGATTAGTATTAGGAACGAGAAGCTGTCAGGTTTCTCTATGTTGCCAAACCGCATCCAGATGAACTTAAGCTTCTTGTGGCCATTTCCATCTTAATTCCAATAGAACAAAGGTAAGCTATTAACTGTTGTGATCATCATTCATACTATGACATTGAAATCTTAAATCAATCTGAATGGGTCATATTATATGTTGTAACTATAGCTAAATTACCACATTTATCAGATTATTGGATCAGTTCAGAAAATAGTTTTGAATTTGATTATTGACAGACTCGTTAGATGATGATTGTTTTGAATCATTGTGATATACGATTAGCTTGTGCTATATTGATTATTGATATTTTGTGCTACGTTACTAAAGAATGTAGAAGAAGTGTACGCATGTTGTTTATTTCAATCGCTTATGTTCTGTTGGGATCTTTATTGGTTATTCATTTATCTAACATGGGTATTGTTTTCCTCATTACGTCTTTCACGAACTCAAAGAAGTCAAGATTAGGATTGCAACAAATTGATGAATGGACATCTTTGTTGGGTTAGTGTCTGAGACATATGTTCCATTATGTATGTGTACTTGGTATGTGTAAAGAATATTGTATCATACTTTGTTCATATATGAATGTTCAAGTTTGTTATATAAAATTCGTGTCTTCGCTATGTTGATGAACAACAAAATAGGTTTCTGGTTCCCGATCTTAATTAAGCAATCTTCAAGGCAATGGTATAAGAGGTTTGACACATTTATAGTTATAAATGTAGGTTTAGTAGAAGTGATTATGATAATTGTGTTTATGTCAAACATGTATCTAAGAATGTGTGTGTTTTTATTACTGTATGTGGATGATATGCTTATATCTTCTCATGTATATTCTGAAATTGTTGAGTTAAAGACTGAATTATGCAGAGAATTTGATATGAAGGATTTAGGTCTAGCTAGAAAGATTCTAGGCAAGAAAATTTTCAGAGACAGAGCTGCTAACAAACTAATCATAATTACCCAACGGGGTTACCTAGATAGTGTAGTTAAAAGGTTTCAACTTGATGTAGCAAAATCAGTGACTGTCCCTTTAACATCTCATTTCAAATTGTCAAAGCTACAATCTCCGAAGACAGACACATCACTTGCAGGTATGACCAAAGTACCTTACTCTAGTGCAGTAGGTTGTTTAACGTATGGAATGACATGTACTCGTCCAGATTTAGCCTATGCAATGTTAGCCGTTTTATGAGTTGTCCAAGTAAACCACATTGGGAAGCTGTAAAATGGGTTATCATATATGTAAAAGGTACCAAGGATTATGGTTTAATTTACACAGCCGGTGATTCTGATGCTCGGTGTTTAAAGGTTTTGTTGATGTTGACTTTGCGTTCGACTTAGATAAAAGAAGATCTACAACTGGTTTTGTATTTAAAGTGTTTGGCAATACAATAAATTGGAGATCTTCACTTCAGTATGTAGTGGCGTTATCTACTACCGAGTCAGAGTATATACCATTATCTGAATCAGTTAAGGAAGCAATTTGGTTGGTGAAAGGGTTGATATCAGACATGCTGGGAGATATAGCATAACCTATTATACATTGTGATAGTCAAAGTGCCCTTGCACTTTCGAAAAATCCATTGCATGATCGAATCAAACATGTCGACATAAAGTTTCATTTCTTGAGAGATGAAGTGAGCAAGAAGACAGTGAAGGTTGAGAAGATTGCATCTGAAAATAATATTGCTAATATGTTTACAAAGTCCTTGTTAGGCGTAAAATTCAAATTTTTCTATGACCTACATAATGTAGGTGTTGGCTAATGTTTCTTGTTTATTATGATGTTAAAGTGCAGGGTTGAGTTTAAGATTGTGTTTTGTTTATTCATCCGAAGATATACTTGATTCAAGAGGGTGATTTGTTGTATTGTGACTCAATCATATCTCATAGGTTATTAAATTAAAGTAGTTGGGTTGGACCGTTAGTTTTTGTTTAAGCCCAAATTATGTGGCTACTTTATTATATGGTGTGAAATCTTAATTTGAGACAATTCTTCTTGCCGTGAAATTGAGAACAAAGAGGAGCAGAATTTTGTTACACTCTTCTTTTGTTGTTCTGCTTAGAGTTTGAGTTTGTTATTCTCCCCCGTTCCGTTTATTTATAGTTCTTGGATATTGAAGCTAATAGAAATTTTGCTCTCACCTTGCACAGTGGATGTAGATCACATTGGTCGAACCACTATAGATTTTAGTGTCGTCTTCTCTTTCCTTATCTACTCAAATTAGTGTTAATATTTCTTGGTGGATTTATCTGGATGTTGAATAATATGCTTGGATAAATAAGCATTTCTATAAATAAAGGCAAAACTTTTCATATTCTTAACCTTTTATTTTTCATTCATTTGATTCATTTTGTGGTGCATTTAAATTTTGTTTCCCTAAACAAAATTTCAATATTCATAATTTATTCTCATATTTTACTTCTTAACAATATATTTTGTTAACTTTGATATATATAATTTTTATTTGCTAATTATTGGTTTATTTTTTTCAATATTATTGTAAAATATTTTATTTGCTAATTATTGGTTTAATTTTTTCATTATTATTTTAAAGATAAATTATTACATAATAGTTGCAATTATCGATTAGTTTCTATATATAGCATTTGGTCTCGACCAGAAATGGTATCAGAGTCTTTCTCCCCTTCTATTCTTTTCTCTATTCTTTCATGGAGTAGACTCCTCTCTGAGTCTGGGGGTAGAAGGAAGATGGATCAAATCTCTTTTTTAAGATTGTATCCTTTCCTTATGATTCTTAATCTATTTGCTAGTTCAAATCAAACTCGGGTATCTCTCTTAATCGATTCTTCTTCATATTTCCCAGCTACTTATTCTCTGATATCATGATAAAGGCGTGGTTAACCTTCATGATAGAGGATTCTTAGTTGAAATATGGAAAAGATTAGATATAGATCAATCGATCGAAGAATTTGATTTAATTAAAAGATAGATTATTATCATAATTAAAGGGTACACTCTTATTAAGATTTTATTTCTATCTCCCTAATATCACTATATTCTCTCTCTCTCTTATGCTCTCCAAGCTTTTCTCTAAAATCTCTCCCCACTCCCAAACAATCACAGACACAACTTCCTCTTCTTCCTCTTCTTCATGCAAAAAAAAAATCAGAAGATGATTTTTCAAAAGTTTTAGCCGAGCATAATTCAGTCAAAGCTCATCTAGCCAAGGTTGAAGATCGTCTCAAAAATTGGTCTATCCCAAAGATAGATCCAAATTAGGTATACGTAGCTATAAAGATGAATTCACTGAGATCACCCTTCTACCTTAAAAAACCCTGTTCATATTGGATATGTTCAAATTGCTTTGAAACCCCTCTTCAAAGAAGGCCTAGATGTCCCAGTTTATCTCGCTCTTAGAGATAAGAGGCATCTCAGATTTACTTCATCTCTGCTAGGTGTTGACACCATATTTGGTCCATCTCAAATTTTATTATTATTATTTATTTATTATTAACATTTTTTATATTATAAAATTTTATTTTATTTGTTTTCATTAAAAATAACATGTTTTACCTTATTATTAGTTTTAAGGTAAGGTTTTAATTAAATTTAAAAATAGATTTTGTTTTAAAAGAATTTGATTTTTTTTAAAATAAATAATTTTGTTTCAAATAAAAAGATTTGTTTAAATTAAAAAAAAAAGTTGTTTTTTTATAAAACTGATTTTGATTCTGTTTTCCTAGTCAAAATCCCAGTTAACTCCAGTTACGTGGCTTTTTCTCCACGTTCTTCTTCTCCTTTTTTCTCTAAACGTTTTTGACTCGTACATTTTTTACCATTACTTTTTTGGGTATTTAAGAGGTAAGACCAGACGACAGAACGGGATGGGAGCGGGATGGGAGAAAAAGAGGAGAGAAAACCACGTTTCCCTTTGTTAAACACCCATTTCTTCTATTTTTATTTCCTCATTCCTTCCTTTCTCTCTCTTCAAACCTCCATTATTGACTTTTTTCTTTCTTCCTTCCTTTCTCTCTCTTCAAACCCCCATTATTGTTTTATTTTTTTTTTACCTTTTTGTTTCTTCCGTTTTCGTTCTCTCTCCACGTTTCATCTTCTTCCCCATTTCCACTCCGAATCCTCTCTATTAACCCCACACCTCCGGCGGCCACAACGACTCCCGAACACACCGGCGCAACAGACTCCGGCGACTGGCACGGCAAATCGGCAGCGACAGTAGCTCCAATGACATACCCAAATCTACACCTCCACGAGTAGTGGCACTCCGGCAAAGTCCTCCATTACAACCACCGTGAATGTGGGTTATCGAAAAAGAAGAAGAAGAAGCTCCTAAATAAGAAAAGGAAAACTTTGTTTTCTTAAAGGTAAAAGAAATTTACCTTTTTTCATTTAACCTTTAAAATAAGTTTTTTTTTTCTTTCTTTTGGTAATTTTGTTTTTCTTTTTAAAGAAGGCTTTGTTTCAGTTTTTTTTTATACAGGTCTTTTTATAAGTCTTCTTTTAAAAGATAAAAGATTTTATTTTGATTTTAAAATAATTTTCTTTTTTTTCCTAAATCAATGAGTGTTGAGTTTTAAAAATAAAAAAATATTAAAAATAAATTTTTTATTTCAAAAGTGAATGAAAGTGTTAAATAAAAATAAATAATTCCCAAATTACAAATTAAGCAAGAGCTTGTTTTAAAATAAATGATGCTAATAAGTTTAAGATTTTTTAAATAAAAAGTTTTAAACGAATTTCAAACTCAAAATAAAATAAATATTTTTCTTAATATTTTTTTCCCTTCATTTATAGTTTTTTTTTTCTTTCTTTTTTAAAACAAAGTTTAAAAATAAAACATTTGTATTAAAAAAAACAATTAAAATGTATCCTAAGGTCTTGGCACACTGGCAAGAGCAAGAGTTTAGGTTTTAATAACAACCATATTAAAAGTTCGAGTCTTTATGTGTGCCACAAATTTTTTTTATTTATCATTGTTTTTTTTACTAAATAATTATTTTAAATAAAAGATTTCATTTAGAGCTTTTTTAAACAAAATTCAAAAATACAAAATATGTATTTTAAAAAGGATCATAGCTTAAATCTCAAAGTGGTGTTACATTGGTGTGATATTTTAGTGTCAACACTCATGTCGCAAGTTCAAATCTTGATGTTCTCTAAAATTAATATAATTTTTTTATTGATTATTTTTTGTTCTAAATAATTATTTCAAAAACTCCAATGACGGGAATTGGAACCTTCCAGTATTCTCGAGGTGTCAAAATTTTTCTAATGGCCTTCGTGCCACTCATACCTATACATTCATATTTTATTACAAAATGTGAATTAATATAATATGAGACATTTCAAATAAAATAAAAACATTTTTTTTGGACCAAATAAAATAATAGGATAATTTTTGACAAAATGTAGTACCGTTTTCGAACGGGTGTCGTAGGGTGCTAACACCTTCCCTACGCTCAGTCGAATCCCGAACCTAAAATCTGTTTTCGCATACCAAGTTTTTGAAATAGGTGATCAATCACACCTTGTAGATGATTGGTGGCAACTCCCAACCCTTATCTCGAAAGAGACCCTTCAGGGGATGACGTTGGCCGCTCCGCGTCGCGATGACGTTGCGAC